AAACGAGGCATTTGTTGCATCCAGTGGGGACATAATTACGGATTATAATGACTTATACTGTCTTTTTTCACGCCGCGTAAACATAAAACCATGTCTGCATTTGTGATCCAAGAAACGACAAACAACAAGTGCTACTCTACACTGCTCAAAACTCACGTTTGAATCCTCAGTGGCACATTCTTTAAATATGAAACCTCACAGTCTGTGAGTCAGAACAGCCGGCATTGTAGTCTACTCTCCCAGGATCAGGAAACAGTCCTCCATAAAATGTGCTGCACACATCTGAATATTTGGGTTGAAGTGTTCTGGAACAGTGTTGTAAACACAACTTAACCACTGATTTCTAGTCGTGTCCTCTTTTGGAAGACCAAACAAAGTAGTTTCGCTTTCACAACGAAACACACAGCGCCTTCACGACATGGCGGCAGCAACAATACTACAGCGAGAATAAAAGTTACGCCTTTTTTCTTTGCGTGAACATTTGGGCGGCGTTATGCAAATCTTCCCACATAGTGAGGTAGACATGTGGGGGGCGTGTTAGAACGAGCCGTTTTAGGTAGGTGTGGCTGACTCTTATCTTTTATAAAGAATATCTCTTTGGATTTGAGACTTTAGTCTTTGCAACTTTACAGATCTTCGTTATGCACCAAGAGCTTGTAACACTCCAAAGAGAAAGGACAAATTGAAATCTTGTCTTATGACCGCTTTAATTGTTTCAGCTGCACGTTCCTCTAACGCAGTGGTTCTCTGCTCATTTCGCACTGCTCCGTTCATTCTGTATATCTCACTTTATTGACTCACTTCAGTTCATGGATCTGTCTATTAACGAGCTGATGAAATGAATCAGGTGCGTTAAATAAAGACATAAAACGTGCAGAGCAGTGGGACTGGAGTTGAGAACCACTACATTGGTTTCAGAAAGTAACGCTTCCATAATGTTTGCAAATTATAAAATGGAACGTCCCTGAATGTGTTTCAAGAGCTTGTAACACTCCAAAGAGAAAGGACAAATTGAAATCTTGTCTTATGACCGCTTTAATTGTTTCAGCTGCACGTTCCTCTAACGCAGTGGTTCTCTGCTCATTTCGCACTGCTCCGTTCATTCTGTATATCTCACTTTATTGACTCACTTCAGTTCATGGATCTGTCTATTAACGAGCTGATGAAATGAATCAGGTGCGTTAAATAAAGACATAAAACGTGCAGATCAGTGGGACTGGAGTTGAGAACCACTACATTGGTTTCAGAAAGTAACGCTTCCATAATGTTTGCAAATTATAAAATGGAACGTCCCTGAATGTGTTTTTCTCTCTAACGTTCGCAGTAACAAAAAAAAATAAACCGCGTTCTGAACGTTCAGCGAACGTCTGCATAACTTAATGAGAACGTTAGCGCAACGTTCTACATATTTTTGTTAGCTGGGATGAGTTAAAGGAGGAAATGTAAAAGTTCAGTACGGTTTGATGCACAGCCACCATCTTTATCGCAATTTTGTCCGAAAAGTCGAATGAATTTCGCTTCATTTTTTCACAGCATAATATTACGAGAAGCCGAACAAACATAACCGCAATTTCCATTTGTCGAAATCTAAAAGTTGAATTACGACCTTATATCACACCAAATTCTCTGGGGGAAAAGCAGCATAACTTCACATTTACATAACTAAAATGGTTAGGCTACTTTATGAGTAAATGTAGTTTTGTTGGTAGTAGTGACCTGTTACTTTAAATCGTGATCAAAGATTCGGGAATGCGAAACCTCTGGTTGCTGATTGAAGTGTAAACATTCAAACTCCTTACCGACTCCCTGGAGAAAAATAAAGCCGATCACCATCAACAACGGGTGCCAGTTAAACTCCGCCGCTCCCCCGTCCCAGCCGAGCCCCTCTCTGAAGTGTAGAACCCACGCTAAAGCGAACGCGACCGCCACAAACCCGAGCGCCAGAGCCAGAGGCAAGACAACGAGAAACTGCTTGTAGCTCTCCATCCTCGCAGTCTGCAATACACTCACGCGACTACAGCAGGGCAACGACACGAGACACTGGGTCCCTTTTGCACTCTCTCGCCCAAACAAGAGGCGCTGTCTTAAACCCTAGTAAGCTGCCTATCTGGGCAGCATTGCTGGGAGTCAAAATGCAGTCTAGGTAGGAAGCAAACTAGGTTTGGACCTTATCCATGCCCAAAATGCTACATGTGAAGCTTATAATGCCCAGTAACAATGTGCCCAGTACTATTTTGTTTAAGTTTAGACTTATAATGCTGTCCAGGTAGGCAGCTTCCTAGGTTTTGGGACGACTTCTTTCTTTTCCTTTTTTTCATTCCAGCACTATTTTGTAACTATCCACAGTAAACTTATGCAACACCACTAGTTTCACAATGATGACAAGAGAGTATTGGTCACAAACTAGTCTTTATTAGTAAAGTTACAAGTAAATAAAATAACTAAACAGAAAAGTGTTTCAAGTTCAATTCCATCAACGGATAAATGTTTGTTCAGGGCCGGCATTATTCAATCCAAACGACTCATGATTCATGCATTTAAAAAGAAATGTCTTTTGAGTCCTCTAAAATCCAAATAGAAAAATTTAATAAAAGGTTGTTGATGTTTTTTTGTGGAGAAATGCACTGTAGCTCATTATTAATCATCACATACAGAACTATGAAATGTGCTCATGGTTCATCCGAAGCTGGTCTCTTCATTTTCTAAACATGGCAGCAGAATGAGTATTTTTCTCCTGGACAGTGTGAGTAATCGTGTCTCTATCAAAGTAAACCTCGTGACTGTAGGTCAGGAAAACAACGTAGAGAGGGTGTTGAGTTATGACAGACAGAGTGAATGAGATCTAAAAACAGAGACATTCATTTATTCATGTCACACCACATCCCGTGGCTCTTTTAGAGGAACTCTCTTCATTAAAAGCCCCGTCTTATTGTCATGCAGGCGAAGGTGGGCCTGTCCTTCATCTTCAGTCTGAGTGATGTCTACCACAGCCAACAGATCAAGTTCATCTTCATACTTCACCATTCTGAATGTCTAGATAAGACCGTCAAGTTACTACATGCAAAGTAAAAACATAGCAGACCATCTCAGAGATGCACTAGAGTGAGTCCACTCAATCAGACACCTCTATGTACATTCTTCCACAACATTATTAAACAAAATACGTTTCTAATTAGAATCAAAAATTGCTTTTACAGGGTTTGCCACAAATGAAAAAATTTAAATGTTGTCATAATTTACTCACCATCATGTTCCAATACTGTATGTATGCAGGTAAAGTTGGACATTCATATCCAGCTTTACATAAAGAGCTGGACGATAATAGTCACATTTTGCAATTAAATCAAAAATCAGACAGTTGAAATTTGCTATATAGTACATTATGTATTGCTCTATGTGAGTGTACTGAGTATATGCTAGTAAAGTTGTATATAATATACACCCAACTTTATATATAAAGCTACCTGATTGTATTTTAGATTTCTGCAATTACATAATCAAGAAAGAAATGTTCCAAAACCTGGTAACTTGTTCTTCTATGGAGCATATTCCAAGAGATGTTCATACAAGAAAGCATACATTACTTATCCCGGCTTAGCGTGTGCTGAGGATGGGATAGAGTGAGCAGAGGCGGCGGAGTTGAGAACGGCGCCCCGGCGGATGCGACGAATGAGTGGCAACCACATGTGACGACCCCGGGCTGGACTCCGCTTTGTCCTCGGTGAAAGTTGATGTATTCCCTCAGCGACCAGCAGAGATCAGCTCCAGGCATGACGAAGTGGATATCATCCTCTTTTTACAGATCTTCTTTATGCACCAAGAGCTTGTAACACTCCAAAGAGAAAGGAACATTTTTAATCGCATAAAATGACCCCTTTAAAAAAAAAAAAAAAAACCCTCTCTAAAAATACCAGAAAAGAAGTCCACATAAAGTTCAAATAGGCACATGAAGTGCATGAAAGTGCAGCATGAACATTTTAAACAAGTTTTTTTGTTGTTGTGTGTTTTGTATCATACGAGTTTGAAACAACATCAGGGCGAATAAATAATGTTTTCATTTTTGGGTGAACTATTCCTTTGAGTGCCACAAAAAACTTTTTAAGTTCCTTAGAAAGCCAACTATGCTCTGGTGCTTTAACAAATTCAGATACCAATACACTGATCTGAAGGACCCTAAATATATAATCAAGATTTGTTCTCACTCAGGAACTATATACAGGCCAACAGTTCTCTATACAGGGTTTCTACAGGATTTTCAAGCTCAAATTTAAGACTTTTTAAGACCTGCACAAATACATTTAATACCATATGAACGGGGCAGGGCAATGTCTACAGTAACATATTAAACTGTAAAAGCATGAGATTATTATTCTTATCAATCCACCAGTTCACATTTACAGCTCTGTGTGTTTGCAGGGTAAAAACATGGGTCGATTTTCACATTGGTCTGAACAAAAACAGCCCCAATACTGTGTTCCTGCAATACTGGAGGCTGCAGTTTCAGGACCGCATTTCTACAGGACCCATCTAGCCAATTCTATTCCAACAGAGGAGACCTGATTCAAACATCAAACAAACAGATGCAAAGACTAGATCCATGGAAACTATTAATTTTTTATCTTTCCATTTTATTTCTGATGTAAGAGCTGGCGTGAACTTTTTAAAAATTATTTGGTTACACTTTACTTGAAGGGGTGTGCATAAGACTGACATGACACCTTCATAATCATGACATGACACCTACAGAATCATGACATGACACCTACATAATCATGACATGACACATGTCTTGAATATGAAGGTTTTTTATGCATGTTTATGACAACTGTCATTAAGTGTCATTCGCTCAGTTATGTCATTTTTAATGCAAAGATGACATTGTTTGAGATGTCTTTGTCTTAACCTCATGATTATGAAGGTGTCATGTCAGTCTTATGCACACCCCTTCAAGTAAAGTGTTACCAATTATTTTATATTTATTAATGTACTAATAAACACACTAATTTGTACCACAATTGTTTTACCGTTTACTGCACTTACGTGCGTCGGACATCAGACGGGAAGTGCTGAACTGCGGCTAATGAACAAATTTTGCAAAGACAAAAGTCTTTCTTTATAAGAAAACAGAATTTAAAACCTAAAAACTTAAATTTGTTTGATGATCTGAAACATTAAAGTGTGACAAACGTGCAAAAAAATAAGAAATCAGGAAGGGGGCCAACACTTTTTCACACCACTGTATAGATCCTATACATGTATAGAGCCTATATATAGAGAGAGAATATATTGAAATAAATTATGTTAACTATTTCAAGAAGGTTACCAACGGGTATGTTTAGAGTTAGGAGTTGGTTAGGACAATAATTAAGTGTATACAATTAAACAACTACATAATTCCTTTAAAATAATTATATACAGAATTGAATAGCAAGTGCTATAGAATAGTATGAGTGGCTAATATATACATACAATAAATAAATAAAACAAATTAAAAAAACTAGCCTATAGGGTCCTAGAAATGCGGTCCTGAATAAAACAGGCTTACTGAAAATGCACATTCATTCTCTGCCAGCAGGAGGCGCTTTCGGAATGGCAGAAACACAGCGGTTTTTCCGGTAACGACAGTAAACAAAGACGAGCAGCAACGGACTCTGAAACGCCCAGCTCTCCTGTTTATAAAATCATCGCCTTTTGAAGTTTAATCATCACATTAAGACATAGCAATTCTGGTCTTTCCGTCCCGTTTAAATTTGATACAACTAAATGTATGACTTATTTTTAAGACCCCGCGGAAACTCTGTATAAGAAGAGGGATCTTCTCTGCACCAATGTTCTACAAAGAACTATTGAAGAGCCATGATTTGCAGTACCTGCTGAGCTGGGTCATCGTCTAACAACTGGATTCTCCTTTTGACTGCACGGCCAGAAGACGTCACAATCACCTGAGGGGCCTGTGAGGAAGAAGAACCACTGATTACAAACCATCCTTCCATGCAGCGATGTTCTGCTTTTACAATAAAAAATCAGCTGGTATTTCTGGTGTGTTTAAAAATGAAAAAGTTCTAGTATTGATATTTCTATAATATTGCGACGCAGCTACAGCTGGTAATGAACCCATAAACATAAATTACTCTATCGTCACGGGCAGCAGTGATGGAGAAGGCTGTGACTATCTCATACTTCCAGTCACATCCTGTTTCAGCCATGATCTTCAGAACACTGTGAGAGAGAAAATTCAAAATGACAATCGCAGAGAGAAGCAAAATCTACATGGTTTAATACTCTCATCATAAGGTCATGGTTTCTCATTCACTTGTTTATGCTTGTTCAAGGACACCGTTTATAAAAAGATTCCTGTTATATGTGACCCTGGACCACAAAACCAGTCCTAAGGGTCAATATTTTCATCTAAAAGCTGAAAAAATAAGCTTTCCATTGATGTATGGTTTGTTAGGATAGGACAATATTTGGCCGAGATACAACTATTTGAAAATCTGGAATCTGAGGGTGCAAAAAAATCTAAATATTGAGAAAATCACCTTTAAAGTTGTCCAAATTAAGTTCTTAGCATAGCATTTTATTAATCAAAAATTAAGTTTTGATATATGTACGGTAGAAAATTTACAAAATATCTTCATGGAACATGACCTTTACTTAATATCCTAATGATTTTTGGCATAAAAGAAAAATCGATAATTTTGACCCATACAATGTATTGCTGGCTATTGCTACAAATATACCCCAGCGACTTAACACTGCTTTTGTGCTCCAAGGTCACATATAGGAATATTCAATGTGCAGCTTTCTCTCTCTTGCCATTTATATAATAATTATTATGCTCACTTTATTGTGCTGGGCCCAGCATGAACAATTCGACCCGAGTCATCTGGGTGAAAAAAGACCCAGTCTGCTTCTAGAGTCACATTTCATGTCCTGGATGCCATTCTTGGCCTGATGTGTAAAGATGACAGATTACTGGGTTAGATAGATGAGGTCTTTACACACGAGTCAAGCCAAACTGATTAGTATAGCACTTTTCACAATACATACGGTTTACTTAGTAGTATGTATCACCCTACGCAAGTATACTGTATGCATGCAGATAAAGTTGCACATACTTACATATCCAACTTATCTGCAATGATATAACCAAGAAAAACTTTAATTAAATGCCACTTATGTCAGTTATTGAAGATAAGTGGTCTTGTTCATAAAACCAATGATTATTTTAGTACCAAATACTCAAAACATTCATTGCTGTGTAAGATAAACCTAATACTGTTTGTCTTGCCCTAAGAGTTAATAATATGATAATAATTTTAACTAAAATGCAACATGTAGGTAACATACACACTTTAACCTCAGTGCATGTCTAAATATATCTCAGCTTGGCTTTTTTGTTTTTTTTCCCTGAGAATATCTGTAGGAACGAGAGTATTCACCGGTGCTCCGTCTGTGATAGAGCAGATGTGATGGGTTCCTCTGTGCCTCTTGTGGTTGGGGGTGTAGATGTAGTGCCAGGGATGACCTCCGATCTGAACCCAGTTCTCAAAGTATGACATCTCAAACAATACGGGAGGAAACTCTGTAGAGAGAAGTGTTGACAACTCGCATGAAAACATTTTTTTTTTTTCTGTAAACGTCACACCATCTATGCAGAGCCTAAACATAAATTCAGAAGCACTCTCCAAAGTCTTCTGATACTTAAAGGTAATACGTGTAATTGTTTTCATTTTTTCATACAGAGTCAATTATAAGTAAGCCATCCAATTGATTCCCTTTAAAAAGTATAAACACTACGAAGTACATCATGTGCATATGTTTTGCCAGTGTTCAAAGATGCATAGTTTTTGGGAAGTTATTTGGTCTACTCTTACTAGATTAGATTGGATTAGATTCAAATTTATCGTCATTGTGCAGAATATATTATTACCACTATTTCATTCTTTAGTTTAGTTAGTACAGTTAAAACTAGATAGACAGACAGACAGACAAACAGACATACATACATATATATAGACAGACAGACAGACAGACAGATAGCTAGACCGACAGACAGACAGAGAGACAGATAGACAGACATACATACATATAGATAGACAGACAGATACACAGACCGACAGAGAGACAGCTAGACCGACAGACAGACAGACATACAGTGGGGCAAAAAAGTATTTAGTCAGCCACCAACTGTGCAAGTTCTCCCACTTAAAAAGATGAGAGAGGCCCGTAATTTTCATCATAGGTATACCTCAACTATGAGAGACAAAATGAGAAAAAAAATCACATTGTAGGATTTTTAAAGAATTAATTGGACAGATAGATAGACAGACAGACAGACAGATAGACATACAGATAGATAGACAGACAGACAGACAGATAGACAGACAGATAGACAGACATACAGATAGATAGACAGACAGACAGATAGATAGACAGACAGATATGACTGGTTATGTTCGGCTGTGATTGGCTCATGCGATAAATCCCGCCTCTTGTGTTCATGTGCGTTCTACATTCACGAATCAGTCTGAATGAACAATATAATGGCATTAATGGGAAGACTCATTTAAACAAGTAAACAACTCACAGACTTAGATGTAACCACTTTATTACGTCAAAATAAGACTTGAAATGGTCTGAAAACATGATCCGTGGGGGTTTTAGTGAGTAAATCAGCTTGTTGAAATTTAAAGTAAATGTCTGTGTCTGTGACCAATATTTACTGAGCTTTGATGACCGATGAACCGAATAATTCACAAGAAGTTCAAAGTTAACTATTATAAAGAACAGCTGAACATAAGCTCACAAATAAAATATTTTGTTTAAATGGTTACGGCCTTGAGTTATTATTTTGGAATAAATATAAAATGCTTAATAACTTGATGAGATTCATACTTGGCTTTAATAAACAGAATATTGGTTACATTGTTAATGTAGAAATATTAAATAGAATTGTATTTGTTGCTTTCTGGTAAAGTAATGTCTATTTAACCAAGAACATGTGACTGAGACAGGAATTTACATTTGATTAAAAAAAAAGGACTTTGCCTCCTCATTTCAGAACACCACCTGTATGTATGTGTGTATATGTGTGTGTATATATATATATATAATACAATTTAAAAAAGAGTGAGTACACAAGAGCTGGGGCTCAGCGGGTTTCTCCCCAGGGGGCGCGCCGGACACACACACACACACACACACACACACACACACACACACACACACACACACACACACACACACACACACCCCATTCAGAGAAGATACACGGACTAACACAAACCTAAGCAGAACGAGCTTCAGAAGTGACATCTAAGTAAGTGCTGGGTGAAGTCTTTTTATATTCAGACTCGAATTCATATTATTGTTTTCCAAACTACAACAGTTACTACAGCATTAACGAATATACTGCAGAACATCTGCGTCTTTTGACTTACATAAGTCAGATATAAGCAGATACATTCATTCATTTTGCTCTTATTATAATTAAAGCTGCGTTGTCAGTGGGCATTATTTGCTGCTAAGCTAACTGTTAACTGCTAACTTTTCCATTGTTTACACGAATCCTCATATCAAGCATTTCCAAAACTTGGCAGAAAGTATAGAATATATTCGCATGGAATTCTTACAGTTGTCTGGCAGTGATTTCTCTGCTTGTTTTGAAATAGTAATCCGCGAACTAAGCGGCGCTCACACGTGTTTACATTACTTCCGGGTGTACGGCGCGTGTTTCCGGCTGGGATGTGTAGTTCTTCTTCACATTAGTGCGTGTTTCCGGCTGGGATGTGTAGTTCTTCTTCACATTAGTGCGTGTTTCCGGCTGGGATGTGTAGTTCTTCTTCACATTAGTGCGTGTTTCCGGCTGGGATGTGTAGTTCTTCTTCACATTAGTGCGTGTTTCCGGCTGGGATGTGTAGTTCTTCTTCACATTAGTGCGTGTTTCCGGCTGGGATGTGTAGTTCTTCTTCACATTAGTGCGTGTTTCCGGCTGGGATGTGTAGTTCTTCTTCACATTAGTGCGTGTTTCCGGCTGGGATGTGTAGTTCTTCTTCACATTAGTGCGTGTTTCCGGCTGGGATGTGTAGTTCTTCTTCACATTAGTGCGTGTTTCCGGCTGGGATGTGTAGTTCTTCTTCACATTAGTGCGTGTTTCCGGCTGGGATGTGTAGTTCTTCTTCACATTAGTGCGTGTTTCCGGCTGGGATGTGTAGTTCTTCTTCACATTAGTATGTAGTGTCGTGTCAGGTTTGTGATCGTAATGATTGATTGATGTTCTCAGATGAGGGGGTTGTTGAAGCTGGCCGCCCGTGCTGTGAGCAGGCCGCTCAGTGGAGGAAGACCCCCCGCGCCGTTAGGAGGAAGAGTCCTCACCGCCCCCGAGGACATCTTTCAGCATAACATGTGGTGAAGATGACTGAGTTTGGAGGATGCCTGGTAGCTGCCCTCAGCAGCCAAAGAAAACTCAAACCTGATATCAGTTTAGACATGCATTAATTCAGTGCAGTGGAACTCATATGCTTTATGAGCTCATATTACCTGAGACACTCTATATATATATATATATATATACCAAGCGATTAATCGCATCCAAATAAAAGTTTTAGTTTACATAATATTTGCGTGTGTTCTGTGTATATTTATTATGTATACACACACACGCATGCATGTATATATTTCAGAAATGTTTTATTAAATATATAATATAAATTATATTAATATAAATATAGACATGTAAATGTAAATATTTTCAAAATATATATTGCAAGTGCGTGTATTTATATATACATAAATATACACAGAACACACATATATTATGCAAACAAAAACTTATTTGGATGCGATTAATCGTTTGACAGCACTAATATATATATATATATTTATACAATAACGGTATATATTTATCTCACAGGACTATTACATTACTGCCGGGTGTACGGCGCGTGTTTCCGGCTGGGATGTGTAGTTCTTCTTCACATTAGTGCGTGTTTCCGGCTGGGATGTGTAGTTCTTCTTCACATTAGTGCGTGTTTCCGGCTGGGATGTGTAGTTCTTCTTCACATTAGTGCGTGTTTCCGGCTGGGATGTGTAGTTCTTCTTCACATTAGTGCGTGTTTCCGGCTGGGATGTGTAGTTCTTCTTCACATTAGTGCGTGTTTCCGGCTGGGATGTGTAGTTCTTCTTCACATTAGTGCGTGTTTCCGGCTGGGATGTGTAGTTCTTCTTCACATTAGTGCGTGTTTCCGGCTGGGATGTGTAGTTCTTCTTCACATTAGTGCGTGTTTCCGGCTGGGATGTGTAGTTCTTCTTCACATTAGTGCGTGTTTCCGGCTGGGATGTGTAGTTCTTCTTCACATTAGTATGTAGTGTCGTGTCAGGTTTGTGATCGTAATGATTGATTGATGTTCTCAGATGAGGGGGTTGTTGAAGCTGGCCGCCCGTGCTGTGAGCAGGCCGCTCAGTGGAGGAAGACCCCCCGCGCCGTTAGGAGGAAGAGTCCTCACCGCCCCCGAGGACATCTTTCAGCATAACATGTGGTGAAGATGACTGAGTTTGGAGGATGCCTGGTAGCTGCCCTCAGCAGCCAAAGAAAACTCAAACCTGATATCAGTTTAGACATGCATTAATTCAGTGCAGTGGAACTCATATGCTTTATGAGCTCATATTACCTGAGACACTCTATATATATATATATACTAGTGCTGTCAAGCGATTAATCGCATCCAAATAAAAGTTTTAGTTTACATAATATATGCGTGTGTTCTGTGTATATTTATTATGTATACACACACACACATGCATGTATATATTTCAGAAATGTTTTATTAAATATATAATATAAATTATATTAATATAAATATAGACATGTAAATGTAAATATTTTCAAAATATATATTGCAAGTGCGTGTATTTATATATACATAAATATACACAGAACACACATATATTATGCAAACAAAAACTTATTTGGATGCGATTAATCGTTTGACAGCACTAATATATATATATATATTTATACAATAACGGTATATATTTATCTCACAGGACTATTTAAGTGGACAGGAAAAATAAATAAGTTGATTAAAATTGCATGGTAAAATGTTCATTTATTTATTTTATTAATTTCTTCTGCTTTTTATAATACACATTGTTCCAACACAGCTTTATAGAAATGTTGAAAAAGAAGCTTCGTCTCTTTTTACAGAGCCGGATCATTTGGCTCAGCTCCGCAATAAGAACCGAATGTTTATTGCATTATTTCAGTGTCATGTGTGTTACCGTGATGGTGTTTAGTGTTTGTGTGAATGACGCTGTGCACCTTCTATTAATGTTATTATTTAAAAGGGCTTTGGTTCATCTTGTGACTTTCTCATCACCTCCTGCATTTGGTGGTTATCAGTGTATTACAAAGCTACAAAACAGATTTCAGTACTTCAGTAGGTTGTTATATTAACATTATTTCAGTTAATGAAATTACGGTATTTAACTGTAAATTTAAGTTAAAACCATAAAACCTAAAACGTTGCTACCGTATTTTTTACTGTAAAATTCCGGTAACCACAGCTGCCGTTTTTTTACCGTAAATTTTACTGAATTTTTTTTACAGTGTAGACAGCTCTTCACTAGAACCACTTCTGGCTTTTATAATTCAGCCAGATGTATAGAACATTATACACAGATCATTCCAAACAAACCCCTCTCAGAATGGAGCACAGTTACCGTATAACAGAAAGAAAGAGAGAAATCAGCTCTCAGACAGGACACGACTCCCATCGTTCACTGAAAGGAGCCGGCTAGTAAGAATAAAATAAACCTGAAACTGAAAAAACATTAGGATGTGCCGGGAGATGAGGAAAAAAGCTTGGACTATTCATTTATTGCATATATATGTATATACTGTACATATAATCATTTGTGGTGTGTTAAATAATTTAGGTTTGGGATTTGCACTGATTTTGATTTGTGTGTTTTATGCAGGTGGGCTGTGGTGCAGGGAACAGTGTGTTTCCCATCATCAACACCATCAGGTAACTGTGAGGAAAACACAACCTCGTTTCCTCAGAAGACAAATCTCATTTTTATTGCTAGGATAAATTATGTAGACGTTTGTCTGTCAGTTACCCTAGCAAAGGGCAAAGAAATCCCTGCTTACCAAGGGATCAAAATAGACTAATAAGTTAATATTGTGAACTAGTATTACAGTTTAAAATAACTATTTTCTATTTGAGTATATTTTAAAATGCAATTGTATTCCTGAATTTTCCGCATCATTACAAAAAAATGTTTTTCTTAGAATTTTTGTCTTGTTTCCAGCCAAAATATCTACAGGTTCTTAAATCAAGAACGGTTTTCTAGACAAGGACAAATTATTGTCTTGTTTTCAGAAAAAACAAGTCAAAATGAAGTGAGTTTTTGCCTGAAACAAGCGAAAATAATCTTGTTCTCTGTTTGAAATAAGATTATTTAGTTTACCCCATTGGCAGATTAGTTTGCTTGTTCTAAGCAAAAACTCACTTCATTTTGACTTGTTTTTTTTTCTGAAAACAAGACAGTATTCTTTATGTATTTGGTAAATATTTGTGTAATAAGTAGGATATTGATACGGTCATTATGATTCGCAAAATAGATTCTATCATGGTGATCAGGACACAAAGAGGAGGCTGATTGTACAGTGGGTATAGAACATAATCACCCCCTTTAAAATAATCACATTTTGTGGCTTTGCGGCCTGAAATGAAGACGGACACCGTTTTTGTTTTATCGCGGTATGTTATGCCACACATACACAATTTTCAGTTAAGGAGATGAAAATCGAAAAGGTTGTGATAGAAACAGTTATTGGGAGTAGCATGTAAGCAGGTGTATTTGTGTACTTCTAGGGGCAGTAAGGCGTTTCTGTACTGCTGTGACTTCTCATCTCAAGCGATTGAGCTCATCCAGGTAAATGACAGTCACGTGTCTCTGCTCCTCAGTGCACCTTTACATCAAACAGAGCCCACACACATCCCAGATTTACATTAGCCAAAGCCTTTGAGAATGGATGAAGACGGGGAGGGCAACATATCCTGTTCTCCATTCATATTAATGACGGCTGATCAGTCGTGTGGCTCTCTCTCCTGGTGCTTGATGCTTTTTGTTATGCAGAGACCTTCGTCAAATGCCAACAGCAGAACATATTGAATAGTGGGGGAAGTGACATCCACAGTGTGCCGACAGCAGCGTTTCTATTCCATCAGTATATGCTTGAGTTTGAGTAAAAACACTAAAAACTGTTCTCATGAACTAATTTTTTTTTTTTTTTTTTTTTACATTTTGTGAAGAAAATTGAGTTTGCCTGTGTAAAAGTCAAGCATGTTGCTTGAGTGTTGGTCCAAGTCAAAAGAGCCCACCCAGATTCTCTCTGATATTCTGGATAACAAGGCTCGTATAAATCTTTTAATGTACACTACCGTTCCAAGGTTTAGGCTTTTTTATTTTTTTACAACTTTTTTTTAAAGAAATGAATTGAGCAAGGACACTTTACATTTCTCATATGTGACATTAAAGACATTTATAATAAAAAATGTATGCATATATATATATATATATATATCCTGTTCTTGACTCCACCAAAAATATTTATATGTTTTCAACACTGATAATAATAATAAGAAATGTGTCTTGAAGACTGGAGTAATGGCAAGAATAAAGTACTCTTTAAAAAAAAATTCTAATAATTTTATATATAAATATAAATAAAATGGCTATTTTTATTGTAATAATATACCACAATATTACTGTTTTACTGTATTTTTTATTAATTATATGCAGCCATATAAGCTTAAACGACCTAAGATAACTAAGTAGTTTAATGTGTATTTATTTATTGATAAAACAAGTTATTAAACAGCATTTCTCTGCTTAAAAATATGTAATTGAGTATATACAATATTTGAAGTACCACTCTATATTTAATGGTAGTACTGAAGTTAATTTATGCTAATTATAATTTGAATACAATTCTTCATATGCTTCATTTCTATGCTTTTTAAGTAAAATAAAAACAAATAATATAAGTAATTTTATTTAGTGTATTTAAAATGTAATTAAAGCAATATCATTCCCATGTATTTATGTAATTAAAGTGTCAACCGCTTTCGTATTAAAATAAATGGATCTCATACCATTTGTTAGTTGTATTAGTATGATAAAATGTTTGCAGTGTAATTCCATGAAGGCAAAATCTAAAATGCTTCTCAAAAACAGCAGTCGTTTGAGGACAGTTGTGTATGTTTTCCCCTTGCAGGAGCACCCAGACTATGACCCTGCAGTGTGTCACGCATTTGTGCGGGACATTTGTGACACGGCGTCCCCATTTCCCTTCCCCCCCGAGAGTCTGGACATTATTCTGGTGGTCTTTGTGCTCTCCGCCATCCACCCAGCACGGTAACACATTCATTATGTGAACACTGTAACACACTTGCCCAGCATGCACCTGACATTAGAGTCTGTTTATTTGACCAGTGTCCTCGCTTATAGCAGCCATTCCCACTTTACCCTGCTGTTGTGATTTACCTATTGCAACATGTGCTTAAAGGGGTCATATGATGTGATTTCAATTGTTCCTTTCTATTTGGAGTGTTACAAGCTCTTGGTGCATAAAGATCTGTAAAGTTGCAAAGACTAAAGTCTCAAATCCAAAGAGATATTCTTTATAAAAGTTAAGAGTCAACCACGCCTACCTAAAACGGCTCGTTCTAACACGCCCCCACATGTCTACCTCACGATGTGGGAAGATTTGCATAACGCCACCCAAATGTTCACGCAAAGAAAGAAGGCGTAACTTTTATTCTCGCTGTAGTATTGTTGCCGCCGCTGCCATGTCGTGAAGACGCTGTGTGTTTCATTGTGAAAATGAAACTACTTTGTTTGGTCTTCCAAAAGAGGACGATATCTGCTTCGTCATGCCTGGAGCTGATCCGTGCTGGTCGCTGAGGAAATACATCAACTTAGTGCTGTGGATCGCCGGATTGGCTTTCACGGTGGACGAAGCGGAGTCCAGCCCGGGGTCGTCACATGTGGTTGCTGCAAGCTCCTTCGTCGGATCCGCCGGGCGTGCCGTTCTCGACTCCGCTGCCTCTGCTTACTCTAGGCCGCCGTGTGTTTCGTTGTGAAAGTGAAACTACTTTGTTTGGTCTTCCAAAAGAGGACGATATCCGCTTCGTCATGCCTAGAGCCTAGAGCTGATCCGTGCTGGTTGCGGAGGAAATACAACAACTTTGCGCTCCTTCG